GGAGGGAGGGCGGAGGGGAGGGCGGAGGGAGGCAGACACGGGCACAGCGTGGAAGCTGCCTGGCTGCTGACCCTCTGCCCTCTGGCTCCTGACTAATTTAGGGAAAAGGCCACTGAAGCTATTTGCAGCCTGAGAAACAGGTGCCCCCCACACCCGTGCTTGGGAGCCTCCTCCCCCGGGGCGGCCTCCAGGCTGCCCAGACCTATAAAGGTGCACAGCTGTGTCAGTGAGGCCGGGGCTCCCTGGAGCGGCTCACTGCGGGTCACAAACAGCTGGGCTGCACCACCTCAGGACCGACCGGGTCCCCAGCATGAAGCTCATCGTGGGCATTGGAGGGTGAGCCCCGGGCTGGAGGGCGACCCTGATCGGGAGGGGAAGGCCCGGGAGGGCCGCGGCCTGCTGCCGTCGGGGGTCCGCCCGAGGGGTGGGGGGCTTTGGTGTGGGGTCTGTGGCCACAGAGGGCACAGAGGCTGTGTCCCCGGTACCTGCGTTGAGAGGTGGGGGATCCGCTGGGAACCGGGGGCGGGCCGGACACGCGGACATCGCAACCGAAACGTCACGAACAAGATGAACACACCGGGTTTGTTTTATTTTGTTCTGGAAGCAAAAGGGTAGATCCGGGCCTTGGGAGCATGGAGCAAGCCCTCCGCGCTGGCTGCGGGCCCAGCCCTCTTTGGACATTTTGTTTTGAGACGGGGCAACCCTTGGTCAGGCAGGCTGGCCCCGAACTGAAGACCCCCTGTCTCAGCCCCTAGGTGACAGGGGTGCGGCTCCATGCCCGCCTAAGGTAGGGAGGGCTTTTTGTAGTGATTCCCACTTACAGCGGCTCTGCTTCCCCACGGCTTCCATCACATGGGTCCTGTCAGTGCCGAGACCAACAACCTAGGGCACACGACCTGAATGGCTGAGGGTGACCTGAGTCTCGACCTACTGCCCTGGAGTCCCTCAGGCGGGGCTCCACCCTGACCACGCCCCCAGCCCCTCACGGGGGATTCTGGGCGGGGCTCCACCCTGACCACGCCCCCAGCCCCTCACGGGGGATTCTGGGCGTGGCTCCACCCTGACCACGCCCCTGCCCATGTTTTTACTTTGCGTTTTGAGACAGGGCCTCACTGGGAAAAGTTGTCCAGGCTGCCTTTGAACTCATTCTGCTTTCTCAGCACTGCGGGTGTAGACAGATATTTACCACCAGGCCTAGTTTGTTGGGCTAATTAAGAAATACATTACTTAGGCCTGTAGATGGCTCAGTGGGTGAAGCCTGATGGTTCAAGTTCAGTCCCCGGGACCCATCCTGGTGGGAGGGGAGACTTGATCCCTGTAAATTGTCTTCACACACACACACACACACACACACACACACGCGCGCGCGCGCGCGCGCACTCACATGCAGACACACATGCATGCACAGATACACGCTCACACGCACGCATGCACTCACACACACACGCACACACAGACACACGAATGCACGTCGAGACACACGCGCACAGACACTCACACGCACGCACACACACGCACACGCGCACACACAGACACACGCGCACAGACACTCACACACACGCACACACGCAGACACAGACACACGCGCACACACCACCCGTCCAGGCTGGCACAACCCAGCGGGCGTGCTCAGGCCTCACGCATGTGCCCCTGCAGCATGACCAACGGCGGGAAGAGCACCCTGACCAGCCGCCTCCACAGGGCGCTGCCCAACTGCTGCGTGATCCACCAGGATGACTTCTTCAAGGTGGCCGCCCGGGCAGGGGTGGGGGGCTGGAGGGGACGCGGGGCCGGGCGATCTCCTCGGCCTGATGTCCCCGGGGGTCTCGGTCCCCCGTGCCGGGGATCCCTTAGGCTGATGGGGCCTCACTGTGGCCCATGACCTCGGTGCCTCTGCTTTCCCTTCTGTGCAGTGGGCTCAGCAGGGGGGCGTGACTGGCGACGGCAGGGAAAGTCCCCAACCTCCACCCGCTCGGGACCCCCAGCTCCCCAACCTCCACCCGCTCGGGACCCCCAGCTCCCCAACCTCCACCCGCTCGGGACCCCCAGCTCCCCAACCTCCACCCGCTCGGGACCCCCGGCTCCCCCAGGCTCCACCCGCTCGGGACCCCCGGCTCCCCCGGGCTCCCCCACACTCGGGGCCCCCAGCTCCCCCAGGTTCACCCGCTCGGGACCCCCAGCTCCCCCGGGCTCCCCCACACTCGGGACCCCCGGCTCCCCCAGGCTCCACCCGCTCGGGACCCCCGGCTCCCCCAGGCTCCACCCGCTCGGGACCCCCGGCTCCCCCAGGCTCACCCAGGCTCCCCACACTCGGGACCCCCGGCTCCCCCAGGCTCACCCGGGGCTGCCCCAGAGGCGCCCCGGGGGCTGAGGGGGGCTGGGCGGGCACAGGTCTAGGCCTTGGCTCCCGTGTTTCAGCCCCAGGACCAAATCGCTGTTGGCGAGGACGGCTTCAAACAGTGGGACGGTGAGGACCCCCCCTGTCTGCCCGCCCCCGGCCTGGCCCCTTCCTCGTCTGTGGCCCCATTCCACCTGTCATCCACGCACCCGTCTGTCATCCACGCACCCGTCTGTCATCCACGCACCCGTCTGTCCCCCCACCCCGTCTGTCATCCACGCACCCGTCTGTCCCCCCACCCCGTCTGTCATCCACGCACCCGTCTGTCCCCCCACCCC